CTGACATGAGTGTCACTTTTTCAAGCCAGGTCATGTGTGCCACAAAACGTAATGCAAACACGATATTTACCATGAGATGGCAGCCAATATAAATAGACTCTTCTTTAAAGTTGCTAATAAATAATACACTGGTGCTCAGTGTAACTTATATGATCCTTGTATCAATACAACAAATTACAACATAGTCTATTTCTTACAATGACAAACAGCATGTACTTTCGTTCCATACAACTTTTGTGAAAGATTTTACCGCATATACTTTCGCTTAGTACAGCTTGCGAAAGAATCTGACGGGATCCCAGCTTACTTTCAGCCCGTTTCTTTATCTTTATCAAAGAATCCTCACACTTAAAGACTACATAAATGGAAGACGTCTGTAATACTTCTATGGCATACTGCTCCTGTTTCAGATCTGTCTTCTCCATACAACGTAATGCCAGCTCCTGGAGATAGAAACTGTATAAGGGACAGCAGCTGGTAAGCTCCGAGTTGGTATATCCTCATTGCAAGGCCCCATGGGCTGGGAGTGTGCCACAGAGGAAAAACCACATAGGCAGACTGGAGAGGCAGCCGTGCAGTGCTGGGCAGATGCTCCCACGATGCTTGACTGCTGCAGACAAGGTTGTTCTGCCATGTTGAAGCCACAGTTGAATGGCTTCACCCACTACCCCCCTCCCAGCACCTTCCCTTATATCAGTTATTCGCAGGCTGCATAAGAGCCCTGGACAGGCCGGTCCCGGTTCCTGGGTCTTATGTTTGACACCCCTGTCCTAGCAGATGCTCTAGGCCAGGGGTCCAGCTTGTGGGCGCCTTTGGAATTCAGACACTGGGTGAAGGGCGCAACCGCAAAATGGCTGCTGCAGGAGGCAAGAGTCATGTAGACAGAGGAAGCCCCAGGTGCAGGAGAGGGGTAATTAAAAATACACTGGGGAAGAGTGATAGCTGCCACTGAAATGGTTATTGTAATCTGCGACACCAATCATATCTTCAGAGCTAGAGTCCAATGGCACCTTTAAGACCAACAAATTTTTATTCGAGATGTGAGCTTTTGTGTGCATGCACACTCTGTCCGACGATCAAATGGAATTACTGGGGGAATGCGCTCCCGGAAGACATCAGGGCCCTGTGGGACCTTTTACAGCTGTTCCACCGGGCATTTGACTAAGGAGCCGCCACAACCATCTGAAGCCCTGGCCCCAATACCATCAGTATCTTAATAACACCAATAATATCATTAACATCATTGAATAGCCTTGCTGACATGACCCAGACCATGTGCTAATTGATTGTGGACTCCTGCCATGTTGTATGCCATTGCTAGCACTTTATGTATTGTATTTAGATTTAATTTATTGTAATTTTAACTGAGAAATTGTTTTATCGGTGATAGGAATGCTGTGAGCTGCCCTGAGCCTGCTGCAGTGGGGAGGGTGGGATAGAAGCCAAACTAAATAAATAAATACATATCACAGTTATGTCTATATTAAGGGTGGCTTCTTAGATTAGCATGCAAAATAGTGAAAATGTTTTTTTTAAACAGATCCAAAGAATGACATGCTCGGTCTTCAGAGGTCAGTCAAAAGCTATGCTGGGTAAGAGCCTCACCTGGCCCCACCCACTTTCCGAAAACACTTGGTGGGCACCAGAAAAGGTGTTATCAGGTGCCAGGGTGCCTGCAATCACCATGTCGGGGGGCCCTGCTCTAGGCGCTATACTATGGGCTCTTTTTGTAGCAGGTACTCCTTTGCATATTAGGCCACACACCCCTAATGTAGCCAATCCTCCAAGAGCTTACAGTAGCCCCAGTAAGAAGAGCTCTGTAAGCTCTTGGAGGATTGGCTACACTAGGGGTGTGTGGCCTAATATGCAAAGGAGCTACAAAAAGAGCCCTGATTATTAACCTTCCAGTAGATGGGCAAGGGAGATACCTAAACGGGCTGTAGTTGTGGTCATGTAGACATTATTTGACCAGCAGTGGAGCTTTTTGTAAAAATGGTGTGTTAATGATAACATCAAAATCAGGCAGAGGCTGGACTTCAAGGTAGTATGAATTGTATTTTTTTATAGGCCGGGGATCACTTGAGCACTGGGTTGGTTTTATCTGATATGTGACTCTGTTGAAAGCAAAGTATTCTGAAGTCTGAGTTAATACAAGATACATGGCAGATGATCCATGGGGCAGCAGGCTCGATTTAGAAAGATGACGAAACATGTTTGATTAGTACAAACCTGTTAAATTCTCCCTCCCAAGACTGAAGACAGCAGTTTTCAGTCATAGCCTCTGTTTAATCCCGATTCAGGCAGTAGTTATTAGGAGAGAACACACCAGTTAGTGAAGAGCTCTCATCCAGACATAACCATTCACTGGAGTTGTGTTAAAGGCATATAAAAGCAAAGAAAGACGGGAGAAACAGTCTCCACCCAATAAAACAAAAAGTCTGAGGAACAGCTAATCCTGCTGGAATTGATGTTTGAATCTTGTTTAATCAATAAAGTATAAATAAAAACATGAATATAAGCTCTAGATCATCATATCTGTCTGCCAAGGTTGCTTGTATATCTTTGTAATGCAGGCCTATTTTAATTGGCAGCACTTAGGGTATATGTGTACTGTCTAAGTGCCTATTGGGCAATTTTCCCACAGATTTGCTTTATATGGTAGGTGATTGTACACAAAATTCCTTTATCTTTACTATTGTAGTGATATGTACAATTAAAGTTGTCTGATTTTATTAAGGATCTTGTAATTAACTTTCTAGCTACGAACTTAACCCACTGTTCATAGGAGGTATTTGAATGCGGGTATTTTTGAATATTTGCTTTAAAAAATTTTAACTCCAATTTCGATATCAGCTCTTTTTAGCACTCATATTTTTACCTTTTTTTTAACTCCAATTTCGTTATCAGCTCTTTTCAGCACTCATATTTTTACCTTTTGAGAGCATACATTGCAGTACAAAGAGTTTAGGAAAAGGCCTGAACAGAATTCCTGGAAGGGGTTTGCTTTATACTTTTGTGAAGTTGGTGTCATGTTTTACATTGTAGATGCTTTATTTGGTGGATTTTATGGGGCAATTTTCCACATTTTAGAGACCACTATAGAAGACGGTTACAGTTGAAATGTGTCTGGTCTGTCCTTTGGATTACCTTAATCATGTTTTTGTTTTATTTATATTTTATGTATTGATTAAGAACAGTTTTAGTAGGGTTGTTCAACTTTTTCGCTTTAATGTTTTATTAAGGGCATTAGTCTAATCTGAATGCTGAGATGGGAGGGGTGAGAACATATGAGCCTGCATTCTTTATTTGGAGTAGTCATTCTTATAGTCTCAATTTATGCAGTTTCCATTTAAGAGACCCTTTGGATTTGGATTTGTTTTTACTACTATATCTCCAGTCTTCCTTCTGAACTGGCGCACACTCTTACTGCCTTTTGACGTCAAGATTCTTTTAATTAAACACTTGTAAATGACCATAAATTTATACAACAAAACTGGATTGTTGCTCTCTCCTCCCAGGTTGAATGGAAACTTTGACTCCCAGGTTGCTAAACTGGATCTGGGAGTAGCCAATTTCCTTCTAAAAGAGGGAGGAAAAAGGAATAGTTGGCTAAGCATTGTGAGGGAAGAAATTGCCAATAGTGGGTTTGTTGATTCACAAGTATGGAAAAGGGTAGAAGGAAGTGCTCCATGCCTGACTGAGCAGTGTCCCATATTACAAAACAAAGGAGATAAAGCCTCAGGTGTAGCAAATTATACGAAAGCAGCTACTGCTGCATGACAGTATTGAACAGGAGAGCGATAAAATTTGTGCAGTGGCTTTTGCTGCATATATCGGGTTAGGTGCTTTTGAGCCTTTAAAAGTACAGGATCACTACAGACAGTGTGCTGAGGTGACAACAGCAGTGCCTTATTTCCCCCCCCCCCCCCGGTAACTTGCCTGTACATGGTTATACCTGGGGGCAAACTTTCTGACTTAACGAAACTTAATCTGACAGTTTTAACACAACATGCAAAGCGCAAACTGTGCAGTGAACAAAATCATGTTTGGCAGTGACTGTCCAATAGTCTCAGTAAAATCAGCAGCATCTTTGGACGTCAGGCTGAACTTTATGCAGCACTGGAAATGATTATTTCTGACAAAGTAATGTGCCCCTGATGTTATAGCATGCTAACTGTAGACAAATTAGTCACATTTCAGCAATAAGCACATCCTTGGAGATACTGTATGTCTGTGCTGTAGATGGGAATGGGCATTCTCTCTTTATTTAAAATATTTATTAGTTGCCTTTCTGCTTTATAAGGGACTCAAGGCAGTTTACAATGTAAATAATTCTCCAGCACTGTAGATCGTTTTGTAGAGAAGTCAGTACATGCTGAGTGGGGGGAAGAATTGGTCTACAATGTACACAAAGTTTACAATGTAAATAATTCTCCAGCACTGTAGATCGTTTTGTAGAGAAGTCAGTACATGCTGGGGGGGGGGGAGAATTGTTCTTAACATTACTATTACAAAATAAAAAATATTCCACAGGCGTTCTCATGCAGTGTTCCTCCGGATCCTGCTTTTCCATTGAAAAAAATAAAGTGTGGAAGGGGAAAATGTCTGCAATTCCCTCCGGTTCTTTCGCTTTCCTATTAGAACAAACAGTGCTTGCTAAAGGGATGGCTGAATAGGGTTCCCAGGGGTTAAGTTTAAGGGTTCAGTGTCCTTCATTACTCCACTCCTATGACAAAACTTACATAATACAAATTACCATAATTGTGTACCAATTTACATAATTTCTATATGTTACAGAACTTTTCTTTGGCATCGGGTTTAGATTCTTCTATGTTGCAAAGAACGCACAACGCTGGTTATGATCTGAAGTTATACAATAACTTTTGCAACCGAAGCTCGTTTTGCAGTATAGTACTTTGTTCTAATAGTATGGAACTTTTGAACTTTCCCAAGCATCAGTCTTCAGTTCAGGACTGAAACGTCTCTACCTTTCGTTTTAGGAAGTACACTTAAGAGAATCCATTGAAAAGGAAGTAAATCCTCACTTACTGCCAGGTAATGATTACATAATGCTTACACTACCTTTAATTTTATGTTATCAGGACCTTTCCTACGCAATCAGTTTGATAAAAATGCAGTTGGAATATTCACAGGATTTGTTCAATTCCCTACAAGAGTAATCCTAACAGATCACAAGAGATGAGAGGCATAGCTGCTTATCCAGCTCACGTGCCTTTTCTGAAAGGAATGGGAGGAGAAGACTAGGTAGCTTCATATTCCATCAGGAGGAGTTCTCAGCCTTCAAGGAGGGCTTGGGTGGAAGAATGAAAAGTTTTGTTCAGTAGAAGAATCTTGACACAAATACCAGGTTGGATCCAACCAGGCTTTCTGCTGTCACCCCTTTGACCAAAATGTCTGTGCAGGCTGTGAAACCTACATGGGCAGAATCTATGTGGGATGGGGGAAAACTGTAGTAAGGGGGAGAATTGGGGAAGACTGAGCCAAGAAACGTGTTTGATCCCGACCCTCTTGACTATTCTGCTAACTTAATACAGCCTAGGAGTTTGTGGGTGAGTTAGAAGTGGCAAGGGGAGCCCACTTTGAAGATGCAGTGATTCTGTTCCTGGTGAAAATTTGGGTGGTATATTTTTGTGCTTCTTGGAAGCAAAATGATTGGGACAGAACTAGATGCAAAAGAAGATGGTGTTAAGAACGTAAGAGACACCAATGTTGGATCAGGCCAAAGGCCCATCCAGTCCAACACTCTTGTCACACAGTGGCCAAAAATACCAGGTGCCATCAGGAGGTCCACCAGTGGGGCCACGACATTAGAAGCCCTCCCACTGTTGACCCCCCCCCCCAAGCACCAGGAAGACAGAGCATCATTTGCCCCAGAGTCCGTATCTATACCTTGTGGGTAATAGCCACTGATGGACCTCTGCTCCATATGCTTATCTAATTCCCTTTTGAAGCCGTCTTTCTGTGGCAGTGAATTCCATGTGTTAATCACTCTGGGTGAAGAAATACTTCCTTTTATCCGTTCTAACCCAACCACTCAGCAATTTCATGGAGTGCCCACGAGTTCTTGTATTGTGAGAAAGGGAGAAAAGTACCTCTTTCTCTACCTGCTCTGTCCCATGCAGAATCTTATAAACCTCAATCATGTCACCCCTCAGTCGTCGTTTCTCCAAGCTAAAGAGCCCTAAGCGCCTTAACCTTTCCTCATAGGGAAAGTGTTCCAACCCTTTTATCATTCGAGTTGCCCTTTTCTGCACTTTTCCCAAAGCTATAATATCCTTTTTAAGGTGTGGTGACCAGAACTGCACACAGGATTCCAAATGAGGTCGCACCATTGATTTATATAGGGGCATTATGATATTGGCTGATCTGTTTTCAATACCCTTCCTAATATTCCCTAGCATAGCATTGGCCTTCTTTATTGCAGTCATACACTGTCTCGACATTTTCAGTGAGTTATCTACTACAACTCCAAGATCTCTCTCTTGATCAGTCTCTGCCAGTTCAGACCCCATCAATGTGTATTTATATTTAGGATTTTTGTGCATCACCTTGCACTTGGCCACATTGAACCCCATTTGCCATGTTGACACCCACTTGCCACATTTAATGGATGTGAAGGAGAAATTTCTGGCTAATGCAGCTTTTGGTCTGCATAGCAAAGTTTCCTCTTCTGCACAGCTCTTAAAAGGACAGGAACCATGTCCTCCTCTGCATCTCATCACTATATTGAGAAGTAACTTTTACTGGCTTAAAATTAAAAGAGTTGCATATTCAGGTTTGCAGGTACTGTCCCAGAACTAGAGGTGTGCTTTTCACTAACTTTACAAGGGGTCTAGTAAAAGATCTGAGAACAAGGAGAAAGAAATGGCTATATGTAGTAGAAATTGCTAGGGTTTCAGGTATTGAGGAGCATTCTTGATGTTTGTGTTGGCTGAGTAGCATTAAACTATCTCTGGTAGTCCAGTTGGGCAGGGCCACCTTAAACTCTTCCATCATGGTTACCTGTGGCTGAAGACTGTGCCGGAAGCTTAAGAGCACTTTAAACCAAAGAAACCTTTAGACAAAAAATATTGGCAGCAAGAGGCAGTGTGAATGTCTTCTGTTTTCTGTCCACTTAAGTGTAATTAACAAGAGCATTTGAGTTAAAGCTATGCATTTAAGAACCTGAAGGTTTCACAGCTGTAAACTCTCAACTTCTAACAGGTGAACTGTTGCTTTGTGAAGCAGACATGGTTTTGAAGTGCATACAAGATGATGGATCAAATCGTGGCACATACGGAAAACTTACTTGCACAAATTTCAAGATCTCATTCCTTGGTTATTGTGCTTTAGAAGAGGTAAGAAATCAAAGCCTACCTGGTAACTGTCCGCTGTTTAGTGGTTCTTCTTTATCCTTTGTTCTCATCTTCCGTACTGTTGTATGCTGCAGCATTGTTAATCTATGGACAGGAAATCCTATGGTAGGGTACTGGCAACGGTTGATTTCTGCTACAAGCTGTTCTATCACGTGACCTTAGATGAAAGTAGTAATTGTGATACACTTTTATATCTCTGTGTGAGAATTTCTTCCAATAGATAGGGTTGCATTTGAGTCCTGGAGAAACAAAGCTCAAGTCTTAACTAAACTATGGATTTAATTGGGAGGCATTGTTAGATCTATCCTTAGTATTAAGTACTCATAAGCAACACTCAAAAGGGGGGAAAAACCCTTCGACTTTATTTCTGTACAAGGTGGGAAACGTTGCCGAGTAAGTTTAATGGCATTGTCTAAATACTTGAGTTGATAACTTTTGAGAAACTGGATGAGCCTATATGTTTAGGTACTTTTCAAAATATTCTACATTCTTGTCTGCAAGAGGTGGGCCTATATGGCATGTTCTAGCTCATGGAAGCCAAATATTAACAGTAAAACTAAGGTGTAATCAAGTTGTTTTTTAGGCAACTTAAAATATAATCATTCCGTTCACCAAGCGACCATAAAAGTGTTTGAGAACACTGATGCTCAGAGTTTCACATATGCAGATATATCCAAGCAGACTCTTCTGCAACTTCTAGTTTCTGCTGTATTGTGTGCATGCTGTTTATCTCAACATTAGTTTGATGTCATGTATGTAAACATCCCTGATAATGAGCATTGGGCTCTGGTGGTGCTCTGGTGGGGGTGAACTAGGACTCTGGAAGTCAGAAAAGTTTAGAGCTCAGACATAATTATCTGGAGCATTTCATTTCTAACTTTTAGAGCTTTTTAAAAAACAAAAATAGGAATACATTGGATAACACAATCTTACACACAAATGGCATAGGCTGTCTAGAGAATATTATCGCTGTCAAAATTGCCTTGATAAAGGAAGTCCAGTAATGGGTATCTTTCCTCTTTCAGGAACCAGAGTTTAAGAATAAAGTCATTGGGGAAAATGACATCACTCTTCAATGTGTAGACCAGCTCTATGGAAGTAAGCTGGGTAGCTTGTGACTCTATGGGCATCCGTTAATGCATTGTTTTGCTTGATGATCCTAATCTACAAGTCAGTCTGTTATGCAGTTTAATGGAGAATTAATATTGCAATTTAACAGAGTTGGGCCAGAAGTGAGTCCTGTATACGTTCTTGCTGTTTTCACTTAATGCTTGCTGTGTCTGAGCATGAAAAACCCAGTGACTGTCTTCCAAGTTGGTACACAGTTTATCTAAATGTTCAGATGGACAACCTGTGATCTGAAAAATTTGCTGCAGAGAAAAGCAATATACGGGGCATTCCTTGAATGCATAAAAGGATCACTCAATGGGCTTGAATACCACAGGGGGTCTATCCTATATTCTGCAAAAATACATTTTAATTTGAACAAAGACTGCAAAATTTCTTATGCCTATGTTGAAAAATGCTTCCTTTTAATAAATCTTTCTGGGTAAAAAGGATATGTTGACCATAACTGAGACCAGATACTTGTAGGTGTTCAGTTGGTGTTAAGAATACTATTGGAAAAGGACAGTGAAATTCATGGGTTTTTGCAAGTGTCTACAAACAATATTCTCACTTAAACAGAAGGGGCTGTGACCATTCTGAACTTCTTGCTTGTTACAAAATACAGACTTGGGCTATTAGCTGAAGAACTACTCCAGTCAGGTTCTGCTTGGCAAATCTGGTTCAATATTTCGGTTCTATCAAGAAGGCTTTTCCAACTTCATATAGAATGATATGCATTTGCATTACTGGGGCACAAGCAATATAGTTTAGTGGTTGGCTAGATAAGTGTCCCTGATGACTTGTTGCTTGAAAAGATGTTTATAAAAACTACATTTTTAATTCCAGTTTATGATGACAGAAAAAAACCTTTATACAATCAGCTGAGAAGATACCCAGAGAAAATAATAATCTACTGCAAGGATCTGAGAGTGTTTCACTTCTGTTTGAGGTACACAAAGGAAGAAGAAGTAAAAAGGGTAATTATAACCTTGTAATTCTTCCCCTTAATTTTTTTAAAAATGGGCATAAGTATGACCTAGTGTCTGTGAGTTTAAATGACTAATGCCCTGTCTTCCCAGTAATGGGAAGAAATTCATTGTGGAAGTAGTTATCACATAGGAGATGCATGATCCCCAACCTCATGTTTCTCAGTAGAGATGGGGGCCACTTGCAAGAAAGAATTAGCTGAAGGGGGGGGCGGTTTACAGGAAGTTGGAGGTAACTCAGCGGGGGGGGGAGCATGGAGAGAAGGGCGTTTTTAAGGGAGAACAGGTTGTATAGTATAGGCATTTACTCATCCTGCCTTCCCCACTTGCTGACAATCTCCTGGAGAAGGCTTGCCGCACCCTCATCTCAAACACATGAATCCCCTCCACAGTATCTCAGTTTCTCCTCCTGCTTTAGAGGCTGTTCCTTGGGAAGGAGAAATGTAACTAAGTGTGCCATATTTAGATTTCTTTATAACTGGGTGTACTGTGCCTATCCATTGTATTCTCATACCGAATAACTTATCAGTTGTATACTTACTGAGAAAGGTTGTTCCTCTAAGATCAGGCTTTACAGAAGTATTTCCAAGTATGTTTCATGATTAGATTGGTCACAAAGCTGATACCACAGTCAGTACTGACCTCCCAGAAGAGCTCTACTGGAACCAGTTCACATTTCACGCTGTTAACAAGGGATTGTGTAGAATTAATAACCTGTTGTTGTCTGAACTGGCTGTCATCTTCAAGAGACTGATATCCAAGGTTACACCCAGCATTTGTTGTCCTGTTGGGTGTCATGAGAGATAATTTATCATTCACTGGGTTCACATTATATTAATGTCCCATCTGTCCCATCGGTGCACACATGAGATTCTCTTTTCTGAACTCTTTGAGCCAGTCTAGTATAGTGGTTAGGAGCATGGACTCTAATCTGGGAGAACCAGGTTTGATTCCCCACTCCTCTACATGCAGCTGCTCATGTGACTTTGGGTCAGTCATAAGTTCTTTTGGAGTTGTTCTCTCTCAGCCCCACCTACCTCACAGGGTGTCTGTTGTGGGGAGGGGAAGGGAAAAGGATTTTAAGCCACTCTGAGACTCCTTCAGGTAGTGAAGGGCGGGGTATAAATCCAATCTCTTCTGCTTCTGGTGTTCTCACCTGCCCTGTGGCGTGTTGCTGTGTTTCTCTTAATGATGAGCCAATTATAGAGAGAGGACAATCCAAGTTACCACTGACAATTAAAAAAGTAAAAGCAGCAGTGAGCTTGATTCAAGCCTTTAGCTGATAGTTAAATGATTAGGGAATGGCCCTGAAAAGGTTTCTGAATTAAAGTGGATGCTTTGAAGCTAATGGGAGTTGCATTGTGTATTATTTGCAGAAACAAAATTAGACGAAGTGACCATAGCTTTATGAAACCCTCTTGCAGATCTTAGCTTTGCTACTGCTTTAGAAATATGCTTGAACACTTGTTTCAGCAAACCATTGATCACCGAGAACATGCTGAGGGCTCTCAGTCCATTCGTCTCTTGTGGCTTACAGTGATCCTAGTTAGCCTGATGAAGGCCCCGGTCACACGGCAAAGTTGCCACGGGAGAGGCACAGGAGTCCCGTGGATTTTCCGGGCGCGATCTCACCCCAACATCTGGGAAATGCAGTGCTCCCGTGGCGAACCTGTGGCTCCCCGCTGAAGGTGCGGAGTTAAAAACTAGTACCTACGAGGTACTCGTTTCCTGAAACCACGGGCCAGGGGCGGGCGTCTGATCGCGTTCCCGGTGGACTTACATGGCATCCAGCGCCCGCCACTGTTCATCTCTGCAGGTTGTGCAACAGCGCCTAACAGCGCATGCGCACAAAGAGCAATTGCCAGTGCAATTGCATGGCGCGGTTTCTGTGCTGCGCTGCAGGATACCGTCTGATCGGCATTTCCCCCGAACCATGGGACCTCGACCCGGACGTGTGCTTGGGCAGCCACGCGTTAGTTTCCTCCGGGGCATTTAGCCATGCCTCCCCCCGCGATATCTGGCCCGTGTGACCGGGGCCTCAGTCAGTTAAATCCGCAAGCTGCAATTACTTCAAACTGAGAAGCAGAGGATGGAATCACTGCAAATGGAGTAAGCAGCAGGGAGAATATGGGGGCCTACTGCATTCCACCAGCCTCTAAGCTGTGGCTTGGCTCAAATTGAAATGAATTTTAAAGGCTAGAATTCCTGGAGTTACTTTAGATCGAGACTGCAACAGAGTGCAGTCACCTAGGTGTACATTGACTTAATCCATTAAATACGGTAACTGCATAGAAACATTTCAGAGGGCTAGCTGTATTTGCTATAGCTGAAACAAGTCATGTGGCATTAAACTGGCTGGCTACTTGTAGCATAAGCTTTTTTGAGCAAGAATCCACTTAACCAGATTTATGGAATAAATAAGCAATACCTCTGGCTGCTGCTTTCTGTGGTACATTGTTCTCCCCCCCCCCCCAATGTGTGAGTATTGTGGATAAATACAGAGAGCGTTATTACAGTGTAATGGTTTAGAGGCTTCTTGCTCTTTAAAATAGCTGAACATGAACTTAATGTAACTGTCAGAAATTGCCAGCCTTGTCACTGAATAGAACTTCGACTTTTCCGGCTCACCTTCTAGCTTATCTGTTTTGTCCATCCTTTCTTAGATTGTCAGTGGCATAGTTCACCAGACACAGATACCTAAGCTATTTAAACGCTTGTTTCTGTTCTCTTACGCAACAGCTGCACCAAAAGATACAGGTAAGCGCATGCCATGTGACAGTCCTCGTACTTCATAATTTGCTTCTTCATAGAATACTGTTGTTCCAGTAAACTTGCATTTAAATATGTTTGTTGCATGTAGATTCAAACAAGGGACTGGGGGATGAGTACTCTCTTCCTGAATTAGCTCAGATTCCTGTATCCTGCCAAATTGAGGTTTGCGTAGAGGTGATAAATTCTGTCGGTTTTACATTCTTTAATAATAATAATAATAAATAATATTTTTATTATTATTATTATCATTATCATCATTATCATTATCATTATCATTATTATTATTTCGGCTTGCATGACCAAAAGTCTTAAGCACACTTATGCACACTTACACACACTTATAAAGGTACCATCCATTTAAAAAATAAAAATAAAAATCAGGACTTATTTAAAACATCTCAATCACAAACAGTAAAGTGCATTGTCCAAATATGAGTGTATTACACTAGGTGGAATCGTCAGACCAGATAAATCCTCCAGCAGATAAACACAGTATAAAATCAGAAAGGTTTAAACTTTCCCTTCCTTTTCCCTTTTTTTGTTTGCCACCAGGGCCAGAAACATGGCTACTGCTTTAGTAACTGAATTATCAACTTTATCAGATAAGAGGACAGAAATTGACAAGGGAAGGGAGGGAAGCTTTTCTTTTATCAGTATAGGTATAATATACTTCTGCCTCTCCATATTCCAGTTGGGATAAGCTAGCAATATATGGTCCATCGTCTCCACTTGTCCAGCACTGAATTCTTTTTCCTAGAGAAGGAAAAGACTCAAAGCTATGAAGGCTTTCTTGATGCACATCTAAATCGCATTGTGGGTCTCGTCTAGCGAATAAAACTGAGTGGGGAAACAGCTGTGTTGAACCTGCTACTGTGTTGATTGGATTTCCCAAGAAGTAGGAGCCAAGACACTTCACAAGTAACTGATAGTAATTCAGTGCCTGCATCTGTGTAACTTCCTCCAAAGCTATTCTCAGGCTAAACCAAAGATGCATTTCTTGTACTGAGGCCCCAAACTGAGCTACACATAGGGGGTAAAGAAGAAATGCTCTAAATCCAAGACTTCAGCCAAGGTTGCACGTTATATACCCAGTCCCCAATATAAGATTCAGAGGAATACCTCTACTTCCATTGGAGTAATGGAAAGACTCCAGAACTTTATATTCCAAGGACAGGCACAGAACAAAAGCAGATTAGGCTCAACTTCTTTTACCTATGTAATATTAAGGCCTGTTCCAGACAGTATCTGCAAAACCAGGGTGAAGTGTTCTTAGAAAGGAAAACTTCACAACTGCTTTGTTTCAAAAAATTCTCTTGAGCTGAGCTTTGGTTTCATTCCTCGTTCTCTCAAGTGATCCTAGACAGAACTGAGCAAGAGCAATGTACATGTTCTGAGTAAGGTTAAATTAGTTTTGCTCATTTGGTAGATACAGTTCTGTCAGTGGGTTGACTTATAGAAGCATTGTCAAGGGTAGTATAATTGGAAAAGCAATTTTCACTGAATGCTTTCTATGCCTGTCTTTTAAATTGACATTTATGTACTTGTGACTGTCCTTAGAGTTGTTTGAGATTGTTGTCTGTATGTTGACAGACTTCCCCTGTTCCAGAAAATAGCAAAAGTTTTGATACTGTCTCTTTACTCAAGTAGGTCATTCAAGGAATGTATAAGTTCAAACTATAAAACACTGAAACAAATTGAATAGAGCATAAAACAGGGAAGTTTGGCTGCAAGAACAAAGATATCAGCTGCTGTATTAGTTGTGCTGCAAACAGCTGGCATTAGGGATATGCGTTTGGATATTTCCAGTCCGAATAAATATCCTAAATAAATACCTTATTGGTATTTTCTGGATATATTTTGGTGTCCAGACGGTATCCAGGATTTTCCAAAATACTGGTAAATGAGTCCTGAAAATACTGGGAACCAGCATTTTAAGGCTCCCAGGGCTGTTTTTCTTTCATTTTACTGTGTGTCTGTGTCAGTGTCTTCTTGCCAGGGCTTGTTATTGGCTTGCCAAGTTGGTTTGGCTTGTATTCTGAGTCTGTTGGTCTCGCAACATTGTAGTCTTTGCTCAAGTTGGTTTGCGTTGGATTCTCTGGTTTGACATTGGAGGATGTACTAAAAGGAATGAAAGGCTCGCCCACTGGCAACAATGGGAGATGATGGAATGCCCATTGGTGATAACAGGAGCCAGGAATGACAGTTGATTTGCATGGGCACCATAAAAATGGCATTACAGCATCCAAAAGTTGGCAACGAAGATGTGGAACAGATTTAGAATGATGGCCTCTGGGCCCAGATAGACTGCTCTGGGATTGGAATGACAGCTGCCCGAGGGTAATGAGGGCCCTGGGACTTGGAAAGACAGCCCTGTAATGTATTTCCATGTACGCAAGTCAGTTAGCATTTCTGGCTCTGTTCTATTCAATGGGCATTCCAGCATCTCCCATTGTTCCCAGTGGGCAATATTGCAATTCATTTCTGTATGTCCCTCCTTGTATTACGTTGGTTTGTCTTGGACTCTTGCTTTGACATTGTTTGCCACATTGCCCATGATTCTGCTGGGGGTTCCTGCTTCTGAATTGGTTCTGTTGGCCTTGTTGGTTCCGTTTGCATTGGGAAGCTTTTGACAAACAGTTGCTTTGCCTGCTGTTGTGTTTTTGGGATTTTTTGGGATAGGAAACAGTGGAGGATGGTTGGGGGCACCTTGTTCAGGGGCGCAAGAGGTCTAATTCACTTGAAATTTGAGGCTATTTAGTGGACAGGTTCCATCAGCTCCACTGCAATTTTGGTGCCACTTGCTTTAAAAAAACAGCCCCTCCATTGCCCTGGAAAGATTTTCCCACAGTGAGCAATGGAGGCAGGTAATACCAGAATCCCCCTCCTGAAAGGATCTAAATACCGAGCCAGTATTTGGGACCTGAATACCCGGGAATGCTGTTTGTTTGTTTATTTTGGCTCCCTGGTATCTGGATTTAAAAAATATCGGTATTTTTTTGTGGTGCACATCCCTAGTTGACATAATTGCTGTAACCAGAGAACTTTTTATATACTTGCGTTCCTTTGGTAGGAGCTCCTTAAGTCTAGTGTGGCCAGACAAAAGGCTTGCTGATTTGCCCAACTTCCCAAAGGCGGGGGTACTTAAAAAGGATTTCTCATGACTCTCTGGACTGCACTGCAGGGCAGGCTTATATGGGAGAAGGCACTCTTTCACACAGCTTAGGGAGTAAGGGCAAAACTAGCACCCAGTATTGCGAGGGGGATACTAGCAATGGTCTCTGAGCCCTGGACAAATGCGTATTCAGTTCTGTTAAAGCTGCACAGTGGCATTTAGTTCCTTTTTAGGAAGTTACCTCCATAGCACAACTTAAACTGCTTTGAATTTAAAAAAAAATTGTTTGAGGCTTTGAGACAAAAATATTTCAAAGAGTCATGGGGAAAAAATGCTGTGCATGTACAAGCAGCATTTCCCCTTTTATATTCTGCCCAAAAATTCAGGTGCATGTGCTTCCCTTTGAATTGTGGCCATAGTCTGAAGTGTAGCGGCTTTCATGTATAAACATCCCTGTGGAATACTAATTTTGGCCTTTTAACAGCAAAACGTCACACTTGCAACTCTGGCAGATCAGAAAGATTTTATTTCAAATGCATCTCCTTGTCTCACAATCAAACTGGTTACACTAATTGCTTCAAGAATCTGCTCTAACATGCTTGTATTTTTTTCAACAGAAATAAAAAATCAAACAGTGATGTTTGACACCATTAAAGACTGGCGTCAAGAGCTGGAACGGACCAAAGGGAACCTGAAATACAAAGCAGTGAGTGCCAACGAAGACTACAAAGTCTCTAAACAGTAAGGATGCATTTCAAGTGTTCTTTAATACTAACAAGCTGAAGAGATGTTTTCATACAAATCACTCCCAACATGCGAGCTTCAACATGATTTAAGAACACAGTAGGTCACAGGGTTTCAAAACCGGTCATTTCAACCAAAGCTTTCCTAATTATTCCATTTACAAGCTACTAGAATGCTGTTATCATATATCTTGGAAAGCATATTTATTGGGGTGGAGGGACTTGCAAGATTAATTGATGCATTCTTATATGCCTAAGAAGCATACATCTCTTCCTTGAGCTGAAGCCGAAGACTTCAGAGATCTGACATAACTACAGTGTGTGCTGTGTGCTCTGCAGTGCTCCGGTCTTCCTTCTGAGCTGCTGTGGGAAACACTGTTGAAAAAGAAATTAACTATGGCCCCTGCCACACGGCAGAAAAAAACACGGCCAAAGTGCGGCTATTCAGAGACGCACCAAAAAAGACACGCGGCAGTGGGATCACACAGATCCCCTGAGCTGCCGCGCCGTTGCTCCCCGGCACGATCAGATGCCGGGGAGGAAGCCACCGACGAGAGAACGAGGCAACCGGCTGCGCATGTGTACGCATGCGCAGTTCAGCTGGGAGCCTCAGATGCGCCGGCAGAAGGACGCGCGGCGATCCCACAGCCACACTTGCCGCAGCCTTTCTGGTAAGTCCACCTCTGTAGGTGGTTAATTTAACAGCGGATTTTTGGCCTGAAGGGACGGGTCGGGGACGGGTGCGCGCCGCTTCCCAGATGTTGCTGTGAGATCGCGGCCGTTTGCTGCACCCCCGATCCGTCCCTCTCCCGGCCCAAAACCTTCCATGTGACCGGGGCCTATAGTAGTGCAAACGCACAGAAAATAGCCTTTTGCAAACAAAGACTGTAGAGTGATTATCCAGGGCATCGAAACCATTCGTCTCCAACTATCTTCAAGAGCCTTTCCAAACAATTCTCTCCCAGCAGTCTTTCCTACTTAAAAGATCTCAGCTCTTTCCTTTTTTATAAGGGAATGCAACAGATGTCTTTCAAAGCATTTAATATCCAAAGCGGTAACTTCTTAGCAGACTTCAGTGGCTGAAGTAATAGCAGCTCCTTAGTGGAGCCAGAGGAGAGTGCTGCAGTGCAGAATTTTCTCCAATTGTTGAGACAAGTTTGTGAAGTCCAAGTGATGCCAAGAAGGTACCGGGGGCCAGTTTGTTTTTCTTAATACGTGTGTGAATAATCAAGGTGGGTAGCCGTGTTAGTCTGTCTGTAGCAGTGGCACCTTAAAGACTAACAAAATTTGTGGCTGGGGATGAGCTTTCAGACACTGGATTCTTCAGCATCTGAAAAAGTGAGCAGTGACTCACAAAAGCTCATATGCCGCCACAGATTTTGTTAGTTTTTAAGGTGCTACTGAACTTTTGCTCTTTTCTACTGTGTGAGTAATGGATGTCTTGATCGGTTTAGATGCTGACACTCATTCGATATTATAATTCTGATTCTTGTAAGCCACTCTGAGTCTTGTGTTACAGGGGGAAAGTGGCATATAAGAATTCTAAATATAGAAGTACAGCCACTGCTGCTTTTGCTGCTTTCCTTCATATGGAAGTACTGCATTATTGGGTTTTTTTTTTAAATCTGAAGCAATTATGACTTTGGGGACCATCCAGGTTTAAGATTATTAAATTTACTTTTTTAGGTTTCCACCCTACTTTGTTGTTCCCATGGCTGTCTCTGAAGACAGCCTTCTGCAGTATCAAGGAAAAGGCGTTCCAGTGAGTATATTTGTAGCAAGACTGAACAGAGGGTTTCTAATAAAATTCTGTGTAGGGTGTGTTTAGGGCTTGTTCTGGCACAATTGCTGAAATGGAGCAATACATCAAATGGGTGTAGCTTATGCACACAGGCTTTTACCCAACAGACAAACTTATACATTGAGCGTAGCTTTTGAGTCATGAAGGGCCTGCTTTTGACATCTGCATCTGTGCACATGGAGCTGATAGTACAAATTCTTCAAAGTGAGATTTCTAGGCATTCGGTGCCTTTAGAAACTCTTTGGAGTTGAGTTGGCTGTTCTTTCTTTTCTTTTCTTTTCTTTTTTTGAATTAACATTTTATTAAAAGTTAACAAATTCCAAATAACAATACATAGAAAGTGCATTACATGAGTAATACAAGTACAATCGGTAAATCAGAATGCAAACTTTATTCAAGAAGAATTCACTGGGTAAACGAACAAGAGTCAGTACAATAGAACCATTATTAAAAAATAACTGAGCATTCAGTAAGTAAACCATAAAGTTCGTCATAATCCAAGATCAACCACTAGTTGAGGAATTTCCTCTTGAGACAACAGATATTCAAGAATAGGAAACCAGAGGAAAAGTAAGAATGTTTAGAGGATCTAATCATAGAATCCAAACTGTCTGTGAGCTTCACCATGATGTATAGTTGCCATAGTTTTTGATGCCATTGTGAGATTGTAGGAGGTTGTGATGATTTCCAGGCTAAAGCAGTAGTATTTCTTGCTGCATAAACTAATAAAGATACTCTCTTTAACTGATTATGAACTCATCAAGGATCCCCAAGTCTCCTAAGAGTAGATGCTCTGGCGTAATAGTAAGCTCTAGATTCGTAATGGATTTAACCTGCATTAGTATAGATTCCCAAAAGGGGGTAATCTTAGGACAGGAGATCCAACAATGTAGGTTACTTCCTATATCATCACAATTTTGAGTTGGCTGTTCTAAGGTGTACTAAACTTTGTACATACTTGCAGAAGTGGTCTGCTACTCAGACACTTTGCTTCAGGGATATTCTTATTGTGTACTTGTGTGAATTTCGTGCAGTTCTGAATCAAAGAATTTCTTAAAACTTGTTGTGACACCATTTTTGGCTTATTCTTGTGCTACAGTAAATCCTCTATTTTGTTCCATATTAGGCTGGGGCTCCTGTTGGCCTCTTCTTCAACAGTGTCAAGCTCAGCTTCTCAGAATTATTTTCAGGAAATATGTGAAAATGTGGTTATTTCAGCCCGTTGGTTACTTGACAAGATCACTTAACAGGTCTAATACAGTACACCTGGCCTAGTAACCCCATATTTAGAGTCTTGTAGAGGCAGAGGTTCTGTGTCTGGCACGGGGAGAAACATGAAGCTAAACTGTAGTAGATCATGCTAATGCAGACATTTCCTAGGCTGTCAAGATCTTGAAGCTTGTTACAGCTAATTAGAAGCAGCAGAACTAGCAATATTCCATATATTCCCTCTCTTAACTGGGACAGTCCCTATTTTCAATTATTTGTTCCTATTAAATTGTCTCTAAAATTGTTAGTGGTGGTAAAGCTTGAGGTTTTAACAGCTGTCTTCCCCCCAGGTCTGTAGAAATCTCTGAGCAGAGCATGAATGCATCTAGTGCAGCTGCCCGTGCATTAAATGTCATGTAGTTCACAGCCTGTCATTTCACACACCGGTGAAGCTCAGTTTGAGCCTGTGAGAATAAGGGTGTTAAAAGTTCTTTAGGTCCTGATTTTATCTGTAAAACGTGGAAACCGTAAAGGCTACTGGTGATTAGGGATGGACATGGACAGGCTAAAATTCACCTCAGATTTTCACTAGTTCATGGTTTGTGAAGCAGTGTTCACAAACTGAAGAACTGCCATGGACTTCCATGAATTTTGATGCCATTCGGGCTCAGGTGTTTGGTTTAAATGACTGGGAGCCATTTAAACCACTCTTCTGCTTTCCTTGAAAAGCCACGGGAAGCAGAAAGGAGGTATTTAAATGGCTCTGAGCCTGCTGCTGGCTGCCCAAGAAAGCCCCTTTAAACAGCTGAGTTGCGGGAACAGGCTGAGCTGTTACCCCCACTGCTCAGCTGTTTTGGGCACAAGCCCGGTTCGGTTTGTAGGCAAGCCAACTGGCTTTGTGGAGTTTGTAGTTCAGTTTGTGGTTGGCCTATGAACCGTATACTGAACTGCATTTTGTGGTTCGTGCCCATCCCTATTGCTGATACTGGCTTCACCACAGAACAAACTCCATACCTAGCAGTCTAGGTCTGCTGTTCCTATTTTCTAACTTAGATGGTCTTGAGTATGTAGGTTCTTTGCTGAGCTTGCTTGGGGGTACTAGAGCTCTTTAGTCTTAAGTTTATTTGCTGCTCTACACAACTTTGATGGAGCTGTGGTGGCTCAAGTGGTTAAGTCACTGAACTGCAGGCTGTGGAAGGTCGGTAGTTCAGCAGTTCGAGACCCGAGTGTGCCGCATGACAGAGTGAGCGCCCGTCTCTAGTTTCAGCTCCTGCCAACCTAGCAGTTCGAAAGCAAGAAATCGCAAGTAGATAAATAGGTACCACTTCGGTGGGAAGGTAACAGCGTTCCGTGCGCCTTGGTGCTTAGTCACACCGGCCACATGACCACGGAAACGTCTTCGGACAGCGCTGACTCTTCGGCTTTGAAACGGAGATGAGCACCGCAACCCTAGAGTCGGATTCAACTGGCTTTCGAGCAAGGGAACCTTTACCTATGTGCACTATATCTGATGCACCATCGTTAGTTATCCTTAATGCTACTCCACACTTTGTCTCACTGAACATGAAACATGTGGCAAAAAAGGGGTTTCCACTCAAGGGGTTTAGGGACCTATCCCCACCATAGCATAGCTTTAACAGAGCATATTTATATCCAGGTCCATCGTAGTGGCCTGTGTGCACACACACTGAACTCTACAAGGCTGTATTATAACACAGTGGGTGTAACTTTCTTTATTGCAAGTTCCAAAAAACTTCTGATGTACACAACCCCATCCTCACCCTCCTATGAGGGAAAATGTGTGACTGGCCTCCAAGACCACCTTTCAAGTGGCATAGCCGAGTGAGGGGAGAGTTAGAACCTGGATTTACCTAGTCTGAATGGTCTAAAACACTGACAAGCATATAAAGCTGTGAATTGTGTGCGCTTTTTCTCTTTTGAACTTCAGAGAGTAACGCTAAAACAGAATGATTAAAAAATCAGTAAAAATCAACCAGTTGTAGGAAGCCTTCGAGGGCAACTGGTGGGCTGCTGTGTGAAGCAGGGTGCTGAACTATCTGCACCACTGGCCTGATGTAGCAGGTTCTGCTTATGTTCTAGACGTTGCACATTGTGATTGTTTGCAACGGGGCATGTGTGCACATAATGAAAACTCACAGGTGTGTTGTAACGTAGTGTGTACTGTGCACACATGAGATCTTCTGCATGGCCCAGTTCCAAGCTTTCCTCTGGAAGACGTTCGCTTCGCTCTATAATGTAGATCAAATGAGTGTCCTGGATGTACAGCTACCTGCTTATTACCTGTAAACGTCTGTTGCAGATCTGGTGCTGGTCTTGCCACAGCGGTGCTGCTCTTCTCAAAATGTCAGCTTTCTCCAAAGAACAAGATGACAGCGCTTCACAGATGCACAAAACCTTCTTGGAAGGGTCAGTAATAGCTGTTCTGTCCAGTAGTTGAGGCAATCCTTCCCTTGTTCTTTATTTGCATGGTAGCTAACAGTTGCCTTCATTTCTGTTTTGTTGTGCTGTTAGGATTAAATTGGATGCTGGGAGCTATGCTTTAAACACATGTAAATCTAGCAGATGTGCCGATTAAACTGTTTGCATAAGAACATAAGAGAAGCCAATGTTGGATCAGGCCAATGGCCCATCTAGTCCAACACTGTCACACAGTGGCCAAAAATACCAGGTGCCATCAGGGGGTCCAGCAGTGGGGCCAGGACACTAGAAGCCCTCCAGTAGAAGCAGTGTACAACTGCTAATGCTCACGCATGGTAGGTAGTATATTGTATCAAAAAGCAATAGGGCACTTGCGTGAATAAAAGTACATTAGTAAGGTCTCCTTCCCCAAGCAGTACAAAGCTCCCATTTGTATACCACCTACAAGGATATACTTTGGGTGTGTAGTATCCAAAACCTTGGATATGTAATGGGGGTGGAGAGAGATACATATATTTCTCAGCTTGTCATCAAAAATCAGTTTTGTAAGTTGCCTCAGACCTTGGGGATGACTGGGTGTTGAGACATAAATTGGCAATTTAACGGAGTACATTCCGTATAGGTTGCTTTGGAAAAGCATGTAAGTTAAAATAGCAGAAGATCCAGTCAATTAAAGATTTATCAAAGGCAGTGAATGCCTTGAATGTTCCCAGAACTGTTAACAGAGGAAACAGTCACTGCCCAGATGGTTGTTGCTAGTCACAATTCTCTTCTGTTTACTGCATAGCTTACCTTATGCTTGGCATTCCAGTCTGCATAGAATGAAACATTCTGTTCTGAATTGGCCTGTGCGTGGTTATTTCTTCCCATGTTATACTTACAAAGCTCTGAAAGGGTAACAATTCCACTTCTAAAGCTCAGTCTTCAGGATGCTACAGCACTACTAGAATATGCGTAGGAGGCAATGCTCTGAGTCCATAGGGCAGCTGCAGCAAGAGTTCTGCTTCCTTTATGAAAACCCAATAATGAATAGTCCTAGGGCTCTAAACTTTTACTAAAATAACCTAAGGTACCTTCTAACCAGCATCCCCTTAACTAAAACAAGGTTTGGAAATCTTTGAGATTATTGGTACCGGTGTTAACCAGTTAACATTTCAGAATGTAGTTTACGTTTTAGAGAATTGGATTGTAAGCTTGATTCCCCCAGTTAAAACGCTAATGTTAAAACACTAATCTTGAATGCTTAATTGTGTGTTCAGAATGTACAAGACGGTTAATAAGCCACCTTACGAAGCCATGAAAATTGATGACCTTTCAAGCAGTCTTCCATCTGTACAAGATATCCAAACGGCATATACTAAATTTAAACAGCTGTTTCTAGTAGGTAAGTGAATACTACTAAGTAGAAGTCTGGTAACTGTCTAAGGCAGAATACACAACTACCAAAAATAGCTAGAGCCGCTCTGATCTGATCTTATTAGTGTATGATCTTCCTTGTGCAAAGGGACTGCTTTTAAACAGCTATGTGACCATAGATTTGTGATCTGTGTGAAAACAAAAATGGACAATGTAACAATATACCTTGTTATGTCGAGAGCCATGTCTAGAATGAGAGTCGTATCTAGAACGGCAATCTCTAGACAGCTGTCCTTGGCTTCCGGTAATATTGAGTTGTTTTTCCCCCCTTTGTGGTCCTGTTCTGCTTACTTCAGTCTTAATTTAGGATACATGCAGTTGACACAAATTGTGGCTTGATCAGACCCCTGTTAATTGATTGCATAACTTCAGAATTCAAACAGTCCAACAAAGCAGGGTTTGTTGGCTGACATCAGTCTGGAACTTTAAACTAAGGTTTGTGGCTCGTTAACCACATTTTGTACTAACTTGTGGTTTGTTAGGAATTAAGCATGATGTCTTTGATGCTGGGAGGCAGACAAGAGTCAAGCAATGGACATACCAGAAGCAGATGCACAGAGTGGGACTTCTTACTTGCATCTGGTATACAGATCAGTTTGTTGCACAAATGGTAGCTGATCATGATGTGAATGCAACATTAGTATTTTTCTACATTCCTGTTAATACCAGCTAGGAATTTAGCTCTTGGTCTTCTAGTTTCCTTTACACTCTTGCCAGTTTTATCATTTATATATTGACCGTTTGCAGCTGTACTCTATATTTGGGTAGCCAGATGCACAGATGTATACTTGCCGGCATCATTTGTGTCTTTGAAATATATTATTCCTTCTTGATAGTGATAGCTCTCTATCGGAGCATCTCTCCCAAGGTGACTTCCAGCAATCAAACTGAAATACAGTTTCTTTTTTTTCTAAACAGATAATAGTTCAGACTTCTGGGATACTGATGTAAAATGGTTTTCATTACTGGAAAGTACAAATTGGCAAGAAATCATAAGGTTGGTTACGACTTCTTTTTCTCAGAGCTTCCACCATAGTAAGCCAGGTAGTCTGACACTGTATTCTGAATTATATGGGTACAAATCTTGCTGTCAATGCAAATCTTTAAAATGTTAGTTAGCTCTGAGTTATCTACATCTTTGTGTAGGCCTTGGCTCCATTTGCACTGCAGCATAATTACCTTAATTGCAGTGACTTATGTTAGTCTTTTCCCCCCCTTATAGACGGTATCTGAGAAAAGCAATAGAGATTATTGACTTGCTGGAAGCACAGAATACAAATGTTCTCCTTGTAGGTAAGAATGATATGCACCTTGACTACTCTTTCTATATACTTTCCACCGTATACTATTTAATACCCAGAGTTGAAAGATTCATGAGCTACATGCCATTTTGAATTATACTGAAATTCTTCTTTAAAAGGGATAGCTATACTGCATTTAAACTTTTTTCTAGTTGACATCTAACACATGGCCTCAGTCCCAGAGGGGATCATTCATAGAAGATACATTTACACGATTTCTCACCAAAGCAAATGCTGTATGAAAGCCCAGGGCCTGGATAGTGTCCAGGTTAACATTGAGAGCCAACAGTTTCTCAAAGACAGTCTTAAACCACATTGACCTAAAAGAGTCTTCTTTTACGAGTGCCAGGGTAGCCCTTGCAGCTCAAGTATGACTTGATGAACTGTCTAAAAGCCTGTAACCAAGCCTTTGCTTCAGGGAAATGTTGGCCCAGTTCTGAACGGAAAGCCACACCAGCCACACAGTGAGGAATGTTTAAATAATTTTCACAGAAAATATAAAAGAAAGTGGTCAGTGTTTCCATTTACTGAGACAATCCTTATGGCATATAGAGGGTAATAGGAGTGACTTTTAGCTTAAAGACTTGAACAGCACCTGGAACATGGTTCCCACCTCCATTTTGGGAAAAAGTTTAATATGCTGTGGCTGTGGGCGCAGGTTTTTACTTTAGAACAGGGGTGGCCAAACTTGCACAACGTAAGAGCCACACAGAATAAACGTCAGATGTTTGAGAGCCACAAGACATGAACAAGTATTACACACTTTTTAATTTAAAGTACGTACATTTGCTTTTTATTAACATTAAATGAGACTGCCAAAAATAAAAACAAAAGGGGTAAAACAGATGTTGATGATGATATTTATTTGTTTGATAATGATATTGATTTGTCTAAGAGAGAGAAAAAGGGGGGGAAGAGAGAATGAAAGGGAGAGAGAGAGAAACAAAGCAAATAGATGGATGGGAGGAAGGAAGGAAGGGAAAACATGTCTCCTCTTTGCTTCCCCGGCCACCCTGCTGGGAGCTGCACAGTATGTGTGAAAGAGCCGTGTGTGGCTCCCGAGCTGCAGTTTGGCCACCCCTGCTTTAGAATATACCTTTAAAGTTAAATACATAGAAGATACGTTTAAATACATTATTTTTTTGAGATGCCAATGCTGGATCAGGCCAAAGGCCCATCTAGTCCAACACTCTGTGTCACATAGTGGCCAGAAATACCAGGTGCCATCAGGAGGTCCACCAGTGGGGCCAGGATATTAGAAGCCCTCCCACTGTTGACCCCCCCCCCCCCCACGCCCCAAGATGACAGAGCATCACTTGCCCCAGAGTCCCTATCTATACCTTAAAATTTTAAAGTTTTAGTCTGTTTTTAGAGCTGTTAATCTGTAGCACAGGTCAAGCATGCAGGTGGCAACCAGTTTTTAGCACTAAGGCTACTGGATTTTTCAGGACTGTCTTACTGAAATAGGTAAAACTTGACCACTTAACCTGGGTTGTATTATACCCTTACATGCATAAAATTGCTCTCTGGTGTGATACAAGATAAAGGTTTTGTAATAGGGTTCCTAACAATCTGCTCAAATGATCGGAGGGAGGTTCTGCTTGTTTGCCTGACATGATTCACAGTTGCTTGTTTAGCGTTTCCCCTTTATAGTTCTCCTTGCCCAATAGGGCAGTTGCTCTTCAGTAGGCGTGCACACGCTGAACTGCAGGCTGTGGAAGGTCAGTAGTTCAGCAGTTCGAGACCCGGGTGCCGTAAGAGGGAGTGAGCTCCTGTCTCTAGTTCCAGCTCCTGCCAACCTAGCAGTTCGAAAGCAAGAAATTGCAAGTAGATAAGTAGGTACCACTTTGGTGGGAAGGTAACAGCATTCCGTGCGCCTTGGTGTTTAGTCACGCCGGCCACATGACCACGGAAACATCTTCAGACAGCGCTGGCTCTTCAGCTTTGAAATGGAGATGAGCACCGCAACCCTAGAGTCGGATTTGACTGGCTCAAGCAAGGGAACCTTTACATTTACCTTGCAAAGCCTGGAGTTCCTTATGAAACATGGATTCTCAAAGAAAATCCACAGTAATGCAATGATCAGAATGAGATATTAGAGAATAACTTGAACAAGTTTGCAAGATAAAGGATCGTTAGTATTCCTGCTTTGCCTGGAGTTGGCTGGCTGAGTGACTTGTTAATGAACATGGGAAAAAAACATTAAAAGCAGCACCGGGTTCAATGAAACACGTGTTGGCAATTTAAATTTTAAAATTTTGATTGCTACCAAAGCACAGCCGTAAATTTTATTTTTGCTAATGAAAAGTGTTCTTGGCAATAAACAGAGGAAACGCTTGATGAGCTTGGGGCATGTTATTTTACTTGACACCTTGACAGAACAAAGAGATGCATTCTGGACCAGTTTCAAGCCCTGGTTTTAGGAATCCTAGTTAGTATTAACTGTGGTTAGTGTTGGTGTGCATAAAAATGCCTGATGCTAAGGCAGGAGGGAAGAATGAGCTGTGGGGAAGAAATGTGTGATCCCTCAGCCACCTTGCAATCTCAGTTGTAATTAAGAGATTTGCCGCGTATTACGTCCATACTAGAACTCTCTACTTGGCTCATAACTTTTTATTTGAATTAAAAGACTCTTAGTCAAAGTTGTATTATGATGTAGTAGGATAAGTGAGTTCTTAACTTTTTAGGCATTGGTTCTTTATAATTAAAGAGAGGCATATAAACCAGCATTCTCATAGACTTTAACTATACCAGAGAGTTTGAGGGAGTTTTTTATTCTTCCACTGGTTTTCAGAGCAGTCTACCTTGTGGTTAAAATTCTTGCGACTGCTCCCTGAACTGAGCCAACTGTCCTAGCAACTTCTGCACCTTTCAATCAGTCCCTTCCACAAAAGGCCCCAGCCCTGAAGCATTTTATTTAGATAATTTTTGTGTATGAGGAACAAGAAAAGAGAACGGCTGCTTTGACAATTTGTTCAGAGAGTGCTCCCTGCTACAGTTTAATCTACTGCTGTGGTTGATTTTTCCCCCCTGAAGGAAAGCTGGAATTTGTGAGAGTTGCTGCTTGTTTCTCTTATCTGTCCTTGTTTCCTTTTGGAGTTTGTCTCAAGTTTGGGGGAAGGGAGTATGTGTGCAAGCAAGATGAAATGAGCCCATCTGTATAGGTAACTTCCTGTTGCACTGGCTAGAAACTGGCTTTAAAAATAGGATAATCCTATATATAGATCTGTACATTACCTTGGTCAGGCTTGCGCATAACTCCCAGCTTCTGTCTAAGCTATAAATGGCTTCTTTTGGAGGTGAGCACAGGTGGAGGTACCTTTAGCATGTTCTCTTGCTTTAGCTGGACACCTGCGTCTTCCCTCTCTTCTTCCTTTTCAGTGAAAATCCTGTCTTCTGCTGCCCCACTTTCTCCTTCACCTGTGAGTAGAGTACTGCTTGCAAGCCTAAAGGGTTAGAGTGTAGTATGATTGCTCTGCAGTTTGCCATTCAAGTAAACCCAGCATTGACACAACGTAGACTACTTGGCCTGGTTTTGTAATGTTTTGAAGTCATTTCCCTTTGGTAATGGCGAGTAGTCCTGGGAATTCACAATGGCTCTTCTCGCTTCATGCATTGTGTACGGTCTTGCATTCCTACCACACTGTGCTACTATAGCACGCCAGGTTGTTCCCCTCATACTTGAAGTTCTATTGCTGTTGATGGTGCTATACATTCCCCTTGTGTCCTCCTTGCTTATTGTGAAATATTAGCTCTGCATGCAGTATTGGTGTGTTGGCCTTGGCGTACATAGCAGTAGATTTGCACGTGAATACTTAATAGAATCTTTTCCAGATACTATAGCAAATCACAGTAAACCGGTTGAATGCACTTAGGCATTGCTAGCAAATCTGTTTCCTTGTGATGAGAACAAACTCACATGTACCTTTCCATTATCCCTTCGCTCATGGTGCTGACATCCAAAAGCAAAAAGTCCTCGTCTTTTTATCTCACCCTTTGTCCAAGGAATTACAGATGTCTGCATGGTTCTTCTTTCCATTTTTATCTTAACAACTCAACAAGATACATTATGCTGAGACAGAATGGCTGCCCCATGGTCACCCAAGGAGTGTATCATGGGAAGGTGAATACCTTGGGGGGGGGGGGTCCTCCATGCCTAATCTAACACTGTAACCCTTGGTGTCCCAAACTACAATTCGATGCTTGAGTCAAGTGCTAACTCATTAGCATTCCTTAGGAATGCAGTTTAAGAAGCTCAGTTCAGGTGCTGTTGTGATGAATGGCACTTTGACGACTTCCCAGTTTGCAGTTCCAGTGCTGCACCCAGTGGGAATAAAGGCGGCAATCTGAAAGCAGCCATTTTGTGCGGAGCCAAAATGCTACATTTTCTAAGGTAACATCTTAATGTTTTGGCTACCCTTTGATCAATGTCTATTCTTTGAAAGGACGCTTCATCAAAAATGTAGACTTAAGAACATAAGAACATAAGAGACGCCAATGTTGGATCAGGCCAAGGCCCATCCAGTCCAACACTCTGTATCACACAGCGGCCAGAAATACCAGTGCCATCAGGAGGTCCACCAGTGGGGCCAGGACATTAGAAGCCCTCCCACTGTTGACCCCCCCAAGCACCAAGATGACAGAGCATCACTTGCCCCAGAGCCCCTATCTATACCTTGTGGCTAATAGCCACTGATGGACCTCTGCTCCATATGCTTATCTAATTCCCTTTTGAAGCCGTCCATGCTTGTAGCCGCCACCACTTCCTGTGGCAGTGAATTCCATGTGTTAATCACTCTTTGGGTGAAGAAGTACTTCCTTTTATTCGTTCTAACCCGACCGCTCAGCAATTTCATGGAGTGCCCACGAGTTCTTGTATTGTGAGAAAGGGAGAAAAGTACCTCTTTCTCTACTGCTCTATCCCATGCATAATCTTATAAACCTCAATCATGTCACCCCTCAGTCGTCGTTTCTCCAAGCTAAAGAGCCCTAAGCGCCTTAACCTTTCCTCATAGGGAAAGTGGGTGGTCAGTAGTCTTGAAGACAGTATAATGAAATAGCCAGCTCTTTGTTTCTGTATTAGCATTAATTTCCGCACTAGCATCAAAGGAAATAAATGGCTTGTGTTTGAAGGCAGTACTGTTAACATGCATTGAAACTTATTGCTTCGTGTCATGATTGTTTGACATTAAGTGTCCACAAAGCTTCCTGATGTCTCCAAGGAGTGCTCTGATTTGACTCTTGATCCCGTTTTTCTCCACAGAGGAGAATGCTTCGGACTTGTGCTGTGTGATCGCCAGTCTGGTTCAAATCATGATGGATCCGTACTGCAGAACAAAGCTGGGATTTCAGAGCCTCATTCAGAAGGAGTGGATAATGGGAGGGCATGCTTTTTTGAATCGATGCAACCATCTGCGGCAGACTGAAAGAGAAGAGGTATAAACTGTCCCGTAGTTCTTCCTTTTGTCACTAGCTGAGGTGTAAAGTTTCCAGAAAGTTTGAAGCTGTGGGGAAACCAGTTTCCCCCTGTTTTTAATAAAATTGGGAATTCGGGGAATAATTGAGATATATGCAGTACTTACTGTCCTGCTAAATATAAACTAATTTTACTGCTTTTGACAACGTAAAAATGCATCATTTATAAACTAGCGTATTAAATTGGATGTATGGAATTTAAGCGTTATAAATGCCTTAGTTTTGTAGGGTCAGAATTCCAAATATACCCAATACTTGAGAGAAAACTGCAAGTTGATGCACCCTATGCTATTTTAGCACATGTGCCTTAATTTTTGCTGGTTAGACAGAGCTAATTTCTCCATGAAGCTTTCAGTTTTCCTCTGAAGCTTTGGTGCAGTTTCTGTCCCACCTCCTTCTGATTCCACCCCCCTCCTGCAAGTTGGGCAATAAGCTACTTTCTACCCCAGTCTGTGAGTAAATGTGTTAACGGTGGTTTGAGGGAGAGGTGAAAAGGTCAACCACATCAGGTCAAAAGAAAGGCAGAGAGGGCATGCAACTATTGAGAAGCAGTGAAAGCCTTGCATGCCTCTCTCATGGGGATTAGGTATCCTTGGTGCAGAAACGCATCTTGGATTTAAGCGCAGTCTGTGTCTACAGCATGCCCACCTTGTCTTTAAAAGCATTTCAGTCATTCTAAGAGAAGGAGCTGCGGTGGCTCGAGTGGTTAAGACGCTGAACTGCAGGCTGTGGAAGGTCGGTAGTTCAGCAGTTCGAGACCCGAGTGTGCCGCATGACGGAGTGATCTCCCATCTCTAGTTCCAGCTCCTGCCAACCTAGCAGTTCGAAAGCAAGAAATTGCAAGTAGATAAATAGGTACCACTTCAGTGGGAAGGTAACAGCGTTCCGTGCGCCTTGGTATTTAGTCACGCCGGCCACATGACCACGGAAATGTCTTCGGACAGCGCTGGCTCTTCAACTTTGAAACAGAGATGAGCACCGCAACCCTAGAGTCGGATTCGACTGGCTTTCGAGCAAGGGGACCTTTACCTTTACATCCTAAGAGAAAATATTTCATAGAAATTTTTTTTCAGTACTTCCCCCAATTTTCCAGTTTTTCCATTGGGGGAAAATTGAAAAAGAGCCTCAGGGGAAAACTGGAAAAAAGGTTTTCTGAATTTTCCATTTTTTCCCCCTGAGTCTTCACGTCTCTAGTCATTGATGCTGAAAAAAAGGACTGGAGGGGTGTGGGAAGCTGAGCTATAAAAGCATTTGTGTGTATTCTGTTCGGCTGTGATTTATTAGTGAGCTGGTGAGCTTGACTAATGTTATGGACTTCAGGAGAAAAGGTAAACTGGAGTGTGGTAGTGTTTGCCAAGGAGTAACTTTTAAAGAAATATGCTGGTTCTTACAAATGTAGTAAATTGCCTACTTGTTGCTGTTCTAGATTGTCTTCACAGGAAAAAAAAAAGTTTTATGTTCAGTGAATAGCAACCTGTCCTAGGCCAAGGCGGGGTGGGGGAGGCAGCTCTCACCAGGTAACTGCCATGGAAATTAGAGGGGTAGAGAAGCCCTTGCTGTAGCACGTTGCTCTTGACATGTCTGTCACTTGCTGCACAGTAGTACCAACCATTGCAGCTACCAGGAGGAGGAGTTAGGGCCTGCCCTGATCTTTTGTCATGCTAGATCTTTTCAATGTGGGGATGGCACCTCAGAGTGATACCTGCCCAAGAGAGAAGTGTGCCAAATCCCCTAAAAGCAGAACTGCTGTGCATTTTTGAATTGATAGCTTGCAACTTGTGGCATTGATCTCAAGGGCATTGGATGGTGCCCTTGCTCTTTAAGCTCTTCGCCACCAGTAGCAGAATGGAGCCGTGAACACTAATTCATGGTCATCGCTGGTACCCTTTTACTCATACCGTGTGAAGTTACATTAGTGTACTGAAAACTTCACATAAGTATAAATGGATTCTTAAAAAATATAGCAGTTGAGCTCAGCTGAGGAGGTGAGTCAGTCAACTTAGTGAACGAGTCCCTTTTTCGGGGACCAGTTAATAATTGGCGACACATTAAACATTTGCGAACGTCAACGCTGTTGCTTAAGTGACTTCTTTTATCTTTTAGGCACCCGTTTTCTTGCTGTTCTTGGATTG